TTTATGTTTTCATTGCTTTCTTTTCGTTGTCCACAGCTATTATCCATCTTGCAGGTCGCAACGACAGCTGCACTGCAATTCGGCATAAAACCAACTCTCATGCTAAAGCGTTAGCTGTGTACGACAAGTCATCGCAATTGATAGAATGTACTAGTCTCTTTCAAGTGAGTCTGTCATTTGTAGCGTGATTCGCTTGATTAAAATGAATTTTTTATCTGCAGGGTCGATGCCGGCTGCGAAATCTCCATAACATCAGCAATATACAGATCGAATCACCTGAGCCTATGATAGCGAACGATGCCACTTCTTCAGCAGTGGTGTTTGTTGGGATGGGACCATCGAAAGATCCAGTGTTGTACGTCGGCACTACTTTTGTAAGAGGGCCGGTAAGTGGATACATTGTGTGTAAGTGTATTGCTCTCAATTGTTCTGTTCCAGCTTTTTCGCGACGATATCCCTGCTGTCACGTCATTACGATTATCGCGTGGTGATGGCGAAGCGAAAGAGTTCGAGCTGGCTGACAAAGGACTTGCAACGGGGACCGAGATCAGCCTAGAAAGAAAATTCAGAAGTAGCTACAGGTGGGTCAAATTCTCTTAATCAGTGAAGGATTTTTTTGGTTTGGCCTGTGTCTGGTATTCTTTGCTATCTTTCCCATATATGTCAGCGCAGAACTGCGCTGGGGGGATATCCACCAATACCCCCGTTCTTTGATTGGGCGCTGGTTGACCGTTGTAAACGACTCATCGCTCGATCGAGCTTTCGTTTGTAACGGTGCAGCGCCCGTTTACGGATCGGAGCATTAATAATAAACCCCATACGTTTTTCGCATTTTACATGCAAATTATCTCTTTCACTCTTATTCATTTTTTTTCAGAATCGATTATATAGGTGGATTTGAGTCGGGACGGTATGCTTACTTTGCTACCAGGCAGGGAGCGACAATAGGAGAAGATGCGCCGATACAATCTAGGCTCGTTCGAGTCTGCACAGGAGACGCGCATTTTTACAGCTACACCGAGGTGCAATTAT